TGTATAACCCCCTCAAACTCTCCATCATGTACAACATAACCACCGTGTATAACCCCCTCAAACTGTGTATCATGTACAACATAACCACTGTGTATAACCCCCTCAAACTCTCCATCATGTACAACATAACCACTGTGTATAACCCCCTCAAACTCTCCATCATGTACAACATAACCATTGTGTATAACCCCCTCAAATTGTCTGCTGTGTAAAACCTAACAACGTAATCGCTTTGAATAACCCCAGGAAACTGTCTGCCGTGTAGAACCTAACAAAATAAACACTGCGTGCAGTCTTGGCAAAATATCAACAGAACTCCAGCAAAGTAACAATTCTGAACAACTTGATCAAAGTAATTACTGTTTGAAGCCTAACGAAATAAACAATGAAATATCACATTGTTATGATTCAGTAAACAGCATGTTAACTTGTATAAAATGTGTTTTACCTAATAAATCGAAGACAACACCGAAACATGCTGGTGTTAACATAAAGAGTAACACTGGACTGGGTGGAGGACCCTCTGAGCAATACATTTTTTCATACAGTCTCGACCACGCTTGCGAATAGCCGATTCAAAACTCCACGGTTGACCACTGTTGGAAAGGATTCGATCATTTTCGGGTTTTTTTGGAGTCTCGTGTTTTTTCGGAAGTTGATCTCCATCTAGGTGAGTGGCTTCCCGTGAATAGTGCTTCTCTTTGGAAAAGAGTTGGCGGAAACGTTGGTCCACGGAATTCGAGAATACCCGAGTGACGTCATCGTTAGATAGATTCGCCACTGCAAAAAAAACAAAAAACGTTTTGATGGTTAGTATGGGCTATATGACGCAGTAATGCCAGACTATGAATCCGAGTGTCCAGGGTTCGTGTCCCGTACTTCAGGGTCGCGGGTTAACTCCCACCATTCGATTAAAGTGATTCAAAAGTTGGCGGTGGGTGCTATTGAACAACTGTTTTCCCTTTAATCTATTAGTTTAAAATTAGCTCTCGTGCAGCTCCGTTCGAGTATTTGAAACAAACAATGATGAGAAATATTTCACTCTTTGACGTCGCGAAAAAAAAAATCATTAGAAAAAATAGACAAGAACCAACTATGACCGTGGCAGCTCCCTCTGACGGCTCAGCGGTAAGTCTATAATGTTAAATATCGGGTTTCGATACCCGCAGTGGGGAGAACGTAGCTAGTCCATTGTGTAGCTGTGCGCTTAAAAACAAACACATGATTGTCGATGAAATAAGTTGCAGAAAACTGTTTGGCTTTTTTCAGAAGAGATACGCAGCCCAGCACGTTAACCACTATGCCGTTTCCGGCCCTACCTGACTTGACAGAAGGTGGTGAACCTTCCGATACGCAGCCCAGCACGTTAACCACTATGCCGTTTCCGGCTCTACCTGTCTTGACAGAAGGTGGTGAACCTTCCGATACGCAGCCCAGCACGTTAATCACTATGCCGTTTCCGGCTCTACCTGTCTTGACAGTAGGTAATGAACCTTCCGATACGCAGCCCAGCACGTTAACCACTATGCCGTTTCCGGCCCTACCTGTCTTGACAGAAGGTGGTGAACCTTCAGATACGCAGCCCAGCACGTTAACCACTATGCCGTTTCCAGCCCTACCTGTCTTGACAGAAGGTGGATAAACGCTAAATGAAAGTGTAGCTCGTAGTTCTGTCTACGAAGTTTTATCACATACGAAACGAATGTCTCAGCCAGCAAATAATTTCCGTTGGTTGTCTTTTTAGCGCAAAGCTACACAGTGAACGGATGGAATCGAACCCCGGATTTCAGCGTTGCCAGTACGTGAACTTACACGTCCAAACACAAAAGTACGAGACAAATGTCAAAGTACCTCGCTGGATTAAGTACTGAATTGGGTAATTGTTTTTTTACTTGGCATATATTCGTTGTCCAACTGTTTTATACGTTAGGAAAAATAGAATTACGTTCATAAAATACGCAGGAAAAGGAACGAGACAGAATCCCCACAGTATTTGTAAATTCGGGGTTTTAAGCGTGTATTCGAGTTGGTAGGTACATTGTTCTTTTAGAACTGTCGGCAGAGATTTCTGAACTGTTTACATTTCACTCAACTAACTGAGCTGGTAGATTAGGTCGTTAATAAACGTCCAAAGTTAACCCATCTACGTTTTAAGGCGTTTATTTTAATTGTGTATCCGGAGAAAAATAGAAACGAGTGTTATTTACCACGATGTACAATCAGCTGGCATAATAAACAATACGTTTTCCTTTTCCCTGAAAGCCACGTATTAGCGGATTAAACAGAACCACGTCTTGTTTGTCTTGCACTCTGATAATGTCGATTTACGTTCACTGACCATAAAGACTATATCAGAAAGGATCGTATGTAAACAAGTCTTATTCGTGGGTTCCAACGCTAAACTCTCGTTAACAGGGGCTTAACTCCTAATGATTCGTTCTCTACGTGTGTAATACAAACGAATGGCATCCCCTATTAGCTGACAAAAGTGTAACAGAAGAGTTGTTTTAAAAGGATAACAATTTAGGAAATTTATCTACAAGTCGCGTATTTACAAAATGTTTGTAGAAACGAAGTGTTAATATCTTCTTTTTTTTCTCTTCAAGTTAACAATTATTAAAATAAAAATTATTCTGAGCGCGAAATCAACATTTCTCTGGTAGACTTGGCAAATTTATCTTTTAATACTAACTGGCGAACACTGTCCAATCATTTGTTGTTAAGCGCAAACTAAACAATAGACCACCTGTACTCAACCCAAAGCGGGTACCAAACCTTGAATATTGACGTAATAACCCCCAGACTTGCTACTGAGCCACCAGGGAGCTTGATTGTCTTCATAAGTCACTTTACTCAGGCATAGAAAAGGTAGCGTGGCAACTGGTAACACGTTTCTCATATTTTTGATGAAGTACACCCTAAGTATAATGTATAGAACCCACTACGATCTTACAGATTTTTTTATTGGGGGGGGGGGCATTTTGGATATATTTGTATAGGGTTTTGAAAAATACTGTTACGTCTCTGTTCGTTTGTTTCCGAGAAACTTCGGCGATACAAGTCCTTTCTTATTCGACGACGAGGAACCCACTTTGAGACTAATAACGGCTGGAAACGGCTTGAATGGGTAATGAAGAAAAACTTTAAGTTTAACATAACAGTAAATATAAAACGTTTCGACAAGGTCTCCAACCATTATAAGTCCTTTCTTAACTAAAACTAGTTTACTATTTCTCGATACAACTTTATAATACACAGAATTTCCACAGTCAATACGTTTGTAATCTCGTCACTACCGCTCACTTGACTCAATTATCTGTCTCTATCTCTATATCTGCAATTATTTGCCGGGCTTATATACTAAAATAGAGGGCGCCTGGAAAAGACTAGAGTTGCCAGGAAAAGTCACGATCCTTCGAGAATCTCATGACGTGTTACCAGCGTCACGTGACTTCCGCTGTCGTAACAATACATACGTTGATGTCCTTTTACTAAAAGTTAATGGTGAAGTGTTTATAATAATTTATATATTTACCAGGTAATTAATTATCAGTGGCAAGTGATAGGTATTGTAGCGTCCTTTAGAGCCGACTGCTAAGTATGGTACTATTTTTCAGAGGGTACTGACACGTATTGTAATATTTGAAACTAACCGAGCTCCACGTGCAGATAGATTTTTATGTAGCTTCGTATGAAAATTATAAAAATAAAAATTACAACCTACACATTGTTTGTAGGAAACAATAGAGAATCCTCAATAGTCCTCAATAATCCTCAATAGTCGCATTGCTTGAAATTCATTAAGACAGGATTAAAGAAAATTAATCTATGAGACCTTTGTTTCCCTTTTCATTGGCTTTTTTTTTTATGTGCTAGAAATACCAAGAGTGGGGCGCGTGTATACCAGATTCGATTTTATTACTCATCAGGATCTCTACCAGCCTACCCTCACGTTGAAATTATTTTAGACAGGATTAGAATAAATTAATCTGTGAAACCTTGGGCGTGTTAAAATACATCAATGAAAAGGGTTTGACCTCCCGAGTACAAAAGTGTAATTAGTTCTCAAATCGGTCGAGAGATGGTGTAACTATGAGCTAAAAGTTTGTATTTCAAAACAAAAGAAACTCAGAGCCGTTCTATGAGCTGCAAGAGGTAAAATAAATTACTGTAATAAAAGTAAATATTACTTATGAAAAATAATAACATTTAATTTATTGCACTTACTACAACATAACTACCGTATTAATTCTTGATAACCCTGTTAAACATACTTGGCCATTCCCATATATTTTTACACTTCCCCACCCTATTACTTGAAATGCTACGGTCTGTGATAAATCAATATGGAAGGCATAACTGCTCTTAAAACAGAAAAACGACTAACCACACTCCAGAAAAACAAAACGATTTCATTCAAACTCAACGTTTCGGCTTCCGCATTTTTTTTAAGGGTTACAGCGTTACATTCAGTTTTGTCCTGTTTGAATAAAATCGTTTTTCGCTGGAGTACGGTTAGTCGTTTTTTTTTTTTGTTTTGTAAACGTTGTTTTAGTCCTCCAGTCTGCTCCGCAAAGTTTAAAAACTAATAAATTTTTTCATCTTGAAACTTCAGTTTCACTGTAATTTATCATCGAAAAAAAAAAACGCATTAAGAAGCGTAAAACGATTATTAGTTGTGGTATCAATGATACATTTAGAAACATTAACAAAACGTCCCCCACTGGTCTACGGATTTACAGCGCTAAAATCAGGGGTTTGATTCAGCAGATTGCCCAATGTGACTTTGTTATAAGAAAGCGTTACGATGTGACTTTGTTATAAGAAAGCGTTAATCACTAACAAAATAGCGGGTTCCTTAAAGTGTCAAATGATATTCTTAGTATATCTAGTCAGAAACTACTGTTAGATAGATCGTTTAGTCTAAAATTAAAACAGTTACTGATAGCTCATTCTGACACAGTAAAATAATGTACATGTGTATTTCTATTAAATTCGGCCCGGCATG